GAGAGAGAGAGAGAGAGAGAGAGAGAGAGAGAGAGAGAGAGAGAGAGAGAGAGAGAGAGAGAGAGAGAGAGAGAGAGAGAGAGAGAGAGAGAGAGAGAGAGAGAGAGAGAGAGAGAGAGAGAGAGAGAGAGAGAGAGAGAGAGAGAGAGAGAGAGAGAGAGGAAGAGAGGGGGAGTGAGAGTGAGAGAAAAAGTGGGGAAAATCTCTCATACATGGACAAACAACAAAGATAAGATTTGGAGTCAATCCCACTACCAAATATACATCCCACATTCAAGGAGAGGTTTCTCACTCCGTTACCTGGATGAGTACTAAATGATAGATACAAGACTATAGGGCGGTTTCCTTCTTCCTTAGGTTATTCGAGCTTCGAAACACAAATGTGCATGTGAAAATAAAATAAGCTTAGAAATTGATCGGGGAAAAATGCTATTTTTAAAACTTAATCCCCCTTTAACCACATAGTTAAAATATTTAACAACACTTGTTAATTTTCTTCCCCTTAATTAATTAAATAAAACATTAAAATAGATTTTTTAATTAAAATATCATATATTATAATCCAAAGCATAACAAATAATTAAAATAAATATCAATCAACTCCTAATAATTAAAATAAAAATACTAAAATTATTAATTAAATAATTATATTATATTTATGAAAAAATGGAATTTACGGGCAAAAAAGTAGTCAATGCTACAGTTAATTCATCATACTATGAGATTTTTGTGAAGTGATGAAATTAATTACCAATATGAGATTATTAATGGATACTTTCGCTACAAATATCAACGAGACAGAGAATTTTTATGATTTTGTTTTGGAAGATGATGAGACATATGATGAAACAAACGATGTGGATATCAATATGCAAATTCATGATAATTTGCTTTGAAAAGGCCAAGGTAACTCCATTGCAACTTTCTGAACTCAACATATCCATCTTTTATGAAAGGTTTCAATAATTCAAAATTCTTTCAAAATAGGAGTAGTATTAGCATTGAAAGAAATGTCAGAATTGAACAAATAAATAATTATATGTTGACCGTAATATCAAGGGATGATAATGAGTATTTAAGTGTTGATAATCTATTATTTGTTAGTGGAGATTTTGATGGGTTAAATGATATAACCACTCTAAATTTTTTTAACACCATTAATATTTTTTATTTGCCAAATCATATCTTAAGACTCAAAGTTGGAGTACCTCTTATCTTACTTAGAAATAAATCAATCAACTAACTTTTGCAATGTAATCAATTGTTCATTACAAAATGGATAAATTTGTTATTGAAGTAGTATAAATTATATTAAAAAATGCTTGAAAGTGTATATTCCTAGATTGTCATCAACACCTTTAGATAATACGATCATATTCAAATTTCAATGTAAACAATTTTTGTTGTCAATATATTTTGTAATGATTATTAATAAAAGTCAAAATCAATCATTAAAGATGTTGGTATATATCTTCCTTATTTTGTTTGCTCCCAATTTTATGTTGCAATGCCAAGAGTTACATTAAAGAAATGATTGACGATATTGTTAAAAGACAAAAAAGAGAAAGACATTAATTTCACATATAATGTTGTATATTAAGAAATATTTTAAAATTTATAAAATTAATTAACTTTAAAACTATTTTCTCAAACACATGATAATTTATTAAAACTATAGAAAAGAAGCTGTTTTCTCAAACACATGATAATTTAAATATAAATATTTTTTTTATAAAAAAACAAGTTGAAAGTGAGAAAATTAATCTTTCCTAATTATGCTTTATTAGTAAGATTTTAAACCATGTAAATGTAAACCTTTAATTAAATTTTTTATTAAATAGATCCAATCTTAAGTTCTTACAAAAGTATAACGAGAACTTAATATTCCCCAACTGCCAATACAACCTCATAATACAACTATTTGAAGTTAATTAGGCAAGTTTAAATACGAAAAAAATCACATTTTTCCTATTTTTTTTAATAAAAATTTAAGTAAATGAATATTTTTGGTTACAACATAAGGAAATGAATAAAAAATATAAAAAAAAACATTTTAACACGATACGGTAAGCCCTATTCAGCCCTACAAGTGCAAGCCCAATTTCTTTAATCATACCAAAAAAAAAAAAATTAACAAAATGAAGACAGAACTATTTGTTCACGAAGAGTGACTCAGCAAAACCCTAGTTGTTTTCATTTTCACATCCAAACTCTTTCAACCTTTCTCCAACTATGGAAGTTCCATCGGAGGCGCCGTCTACCGGCACCGGCGAAACCATAAGCAAGAAGTCAGTGCTCGAAAGCCTTTATCTCAATGCGAATTTCAATTCACAATGACCCTACCTCAGCTCAACTGATTTTTTTGTCTGCGCAGTGCCCTGAAGCGGGAACTGAAGAACAAACAGAGAGAAGAAGAAAGGAAGCGGAAGGAGGAGGAGAAAGCCAAAAAGGTACATCTCATTTCCATCTTCACCAAAAAATCTTTTATTTATTTATTTATTTATTTTTTATTTTTACCAATTTGAGTAAGATTTTGTTATTCTTTGCATTAGATTTCGATTTCTTATAAAAATGGAGTTTTGTTTTTAATGTATTTTATTTTATATTATTATTTCTAGGCAGCTGAAATGCAGAAGGCTAAGGACAGCAAATCTGCACCTGCTGATGACGATGATATGGACCCAACTGTATAGTTCCACTTTTGTCACTGCAGTAAATATTTGATGAATTACTTTTTTTGTTGTTGTAATTTTTAGGGTGATTTCATTGCAGCAATACCTTGAGAATAGACTGAAGCATCTTTCAGTTCAAAAGGCAGAGGGGAAGAACCCGTATCCTCACAAATTCTTTGTCACTATGTCTGTTGATCAATACATTAAGGAATATGGAAGTTTAAGCGACGGGCAGCACCTCGAGGATGTCTCTGTGTCTTTGGCTGGTAATCAGCAGTTTCTGCGTTGATAGTTTTGTTGTTTGGCTGTTGCTGTATGTTGATTCTAATAATCTTTCTGCATTTCAGGCCGAATCATGCACAAGCGTGCCTCTGGTTCAAAGCTTGTCTTTTATGACCTGCATGGTGGCGGTTTCAAGGTTCAGGTTATGGCCGATGCAAGGTACCCAATATTGTAGTTCTACTTTGTGCATTTAGGGATGATGATGGTGCAACGATATGTATCGAAATAATATATATTATTAGACTTCTTACACATGTTGTTGTTGAACCAGATGAAAAAGCATATTAGTATTAGTCATGATTGAACATTTTTCTTAAATGATTATTTTAGAGGAATAATCTGAAACATTACACACGCCATATTATCCTGAAATAATATCTTATGGAAATCCAGTCGTGCTATTTTTTTTACACTCTTTAGCTTGATCTGCATTATCGATAATGAGTCTTTTATTATAATTTTGCTACGCATACCATAGGCTAATATGTAATGAAGAAGGGGCAGTCTTTTGATATTGTACCATTGATTTTACATATTGTTCTTTATACTACTTTGGTTAGGTTCTACAGTGCTAGCATTATAAAAGGTTAAATATTTTGTGGTAATAATTCAAATATGTAAAATGTAACTTTAAGTGGTTAATTTATATTCCATTATTCTGTGATACTCCTTGTTATAATGTCAAGTTATGTGTCTTTCCTTGTTACCTTGATGTTTGACTTAGACGTATTGAACCTATATTTTCTTTTCTTTTATCCTGTTTGATTTTAGTTGGATGGATGAAATAACTGATATCTCACCAATGCAGTAAATCGGACTTGGATGAGCCTGAATTTTCCAAGTTCCATTCTAATGTGAAGCGTGGTGACATAGTTGGTATCACTGGGTTTCCAGGTTTGTGATGCTGCAAACTTTCATTTATCTATCTATCTTTTTTGTATTTTTACTTCCTTTCATACACATAAGGTCTGTGTATAATTCTATGACCTTGATGTACACACAATTATGAGAATAAGGATTATTTTTAAAATGAATTAAGTTTAGGTAAACAGGAATAAGTAACGGTCTAAATTCTGTTCTGATTATTTAATATCGTTAAATGATCTATCTTAAGACTTGCAATGTCACATTGCTAATTGCCAAAATTTAGAACCGTATTTGTTGTACACTTGTGCTTTTTATTTATTTATTACAAAAGGGCTAAATCCTGCTAATCAGGCATACATTTTTCTATTCTAAGTCTCCATAGTTAGTATGTGTTCTAAACTATAAAGTATTATATTCTGAATCACAAGTTTGTGCACTCTTTAATGTCAGTTTTTTCAGCTTTCTCTTGTTTAATTATCCAGGTAAAAGCAAGAAGGGTGAACTCAGTATTTTCCCTAAGACCTTTGTGGTGTTGTCTCATTGTTTGCATATGATGCCGAGGCAAAAGTCTGCTGCTGCTGCTGATAATGCAAATATGAAGGTTAGGATAATTATTTTATTTTATTTTTTGATACTGTTTGATGATCATATGTAATGATGTTGTTACATCTTTAATGATCTGCAGAGAAATCCATGGGTACCGGGAAGTACCAGGAATCCTGAAACATATATTTTGAAGGATCAGGTATTATTAGCTGGAATGTGTACTGTTATAGATACTTTTGTTGTTTTTAGTGTTTTAAAAAATTTGTATATACGCTCATGTTGTTGGGACCAATATTGGGACAATGGTAATGTCATGGATGTGCATATGTAATTGAGAAAATATTGGAATATGATTTATCTTACTCCTTGGTGGTTATGGTTAAGGATAGGAAATGAAATTGAGATAGATGGATGGTTGACATTATTATTCACACTTTCCCTTTGTGCTGCGTGTGTTTGTCTTTTCTTTTTGAAATGTATAGTTGTTGTTAAGTATAAGTATATTCTGTATTTATTTTGTTTTATCCATAGAAATTGCAATGATGACAACAAGGTTCAAAATTTAGGACCCTGCACATATTGCTTCAACCCTTCACCGCTAGGCTGACCCTAGTGGTTCATTTTGTTCTTATTTAATTTAACTCTTCTGATTTAATGGGTTTTTGTTTTTTTCATTCTATTTCTCCGTTTTGTGATTCTCTTCATGAATTAACTTGGTTGCAACTTGCAATTGCCGTCAATGACACAAAATGGATTGATTTTCTTGAATTGTATGGCAGTATTGATTGGCAGGCAGTTTTTAACTGCCTTGCAGAATGAAAAATTTAATTTCCTGGGGAGTTGAGGTAGTGCTTTAATTTAATTTAAGAGCAGCTCCAATGGTAGAACCCATGTTGGGTTCTTAGTATACTTTTAATGGGTCCCTCAATACCACTTAGGGTTTAAGAGCTTTTCTATATTGTTCTCCAATGAAAGAACATAATTTGAGTTCTTAATTAAATATATGTGGGTTCCACAATAGACCCACTTTCTTCCTTTTTTGTTTAAGAACCCGGTTCTTAAGGGTTCTTATATAAGAATAGATCTTACACCATGGATGACACGTCAGACTGTTCCAATGGTAAAATTTACAAGATTCAGTTCTTATATTTAAGAAAACAGTTAAAAATTCTGATTGGAGATGGCCTAATCCTTTTCTTTTACATTTGTTTTCTTTTAATGTTCTATCAGCAATATTTTCTGGAGTTCCTATTTGATGGATTGTGTGTATGGTAAATCATATTTTTTTTATTGGATCACTAACTGATAGCAAAGGCCGATATGATTGTAGGATCCAGCTCCTCTACATATATGAATGGTTCAGACCTTAAGATTATTTCATATTAAAATTTTTTATTAAAAATTTTAGAACCTGAACAAATTTGCTGATGTAATGACCCAGTTTCCTGAAAAATTGACTCACAAATTTGTCTTCTGATATTTTTGACTGAATTGGTGACCAGATCTTTATAGGATATCCTTTGGTCTAGACAACTGTGTGAATGTGGCTGGGGGCGATGAATGAAGGGATTCTTTGTTCATGATCATAAACTTAACAGCATCTCACATTGCATCAAGGAAATGATTCCTACCTAAGGGGGTCTACAGTGAGGTTCCTCATGCTTGAGAGGGACAATAATTTTTTCCCCTTCAGTTTTTGAATTTTTTTCCCAATTTAATGATTAAGATTGCCTCTAACTTTAGAGGATCTTGGTCTGTAATTGTACAGGGACACAGTAATTTGTAATTTTGAAACTTGAATTGTTTTCTTTTAATGTTCTATCAGCTATATTTTCTGCTTGGTATAATAAACATGCTTTGATTACTCTTATCTGTAGAAGCTAAAGAGGAAATGTCTTTTCTCCTGTTTGCTTCATCTTTCACTTAATATTCATGTGCTGACAACTCAATTAATTTTTTTTAGGAAACTAGGTATCGGTTACGCCATTTGGATTTGATGCTTAATACAGAGGTTCGAGAAATATTCAAGACCAGGTCTAAGATCATTTCTTACATTAGGAGGTTTCTTGATGACCTTGATTTCTTGGAGGTTTGTTCAGTGTCCAAGTATTCTGTTGCTGAATCTTGTGGTTTCTTTCCTTCCATTCCCTTACTTTATGCATCACTTTCAGGTTGAAACACCAATGATGAACATGATTGCTGGTGGAGCTGCAGCCCGTCCATTTGTAACACACCACAATGATCTTAACATGAGGTTATTCATGCGAATTGCTCCAGAACTGTATCTTAAGGAGTTAGTTGTTGGTGGACTGGATCGTGTTTATGAAATTGGCAAACAATTTAGGAATGAGAGCATAGATTTGACCCATAATCCTGAGTTTACTACCTGTGAGTTCTATATGGCTTATAAGGACTATAACGACTTAATGGATATAACAGAGCAAATGTTGAGTGGTAAGAATTCAACTAGTGTTTTTATTGTCATGTTGATATTAATTCTCTATTATATATCTTCTCAAGTCACCTGTGATGATGTGAAAATCATTAAACAGGTATGGTTAAGGAACTTACCAAAGGCAGCTATAAGATTAAGTATCATGCAGATGGGGTTGATAAGGAACCTATTGAAATTGACTTTACGCCACCTTTTAGGTGCGTGGTGTACATTATCTGGACGCTGATGGTCATTATAATTCTATTCTGATGTTGAATGATAGATTTGGATTTTTAATGGTTACAGAAGGATTGACATGATTGACGAATTAGAGAAGATGGCAGGCCTAAATATTCCCAAAGACTTGTTGAGTGAGGAAGCTAATCAATATTTGAAGGATGCGTGCTTGAAGTATGAGATCAAATGTCCCCCACCTGAGACAACTGCTCGTTTGTTGGATAAAGTAATCTCCTTTCTTCTTCCTTTTTATATAAATAATTATCTACTTTGTTTTTGAATTTTGCTTTAATGTAAAAGATTATTTACTTTCGTTTTCCTTGTCAGAAAATGGGTCAAATGTTTAAATGGCCCTGTTTCTCAGTGATATTAAGACCAGGTCAAGAGTTCAGATGTTGGCTATAAAAGCATCAATTTTCTGTGTTATGCATGGGAAAATGAAATATATATGAATTCTGGTCTATTATTTTTTCACGTTTTTATATTTTAACTCTACTTGTTGCTTAATTATGGACATAATTTCGGTTCTTAATTTGCACAATTCTAATTAATGCACTTTGTTCATGTATTTTATTCCTTATTTTGAGCCTCTTACGAGGTATCTGCAGGAAGTAATTATATTCTTTTCATATTACAGCTTGTGGGTCAATTTCTGGAAGAAACGTGTGTAAATCCTACATTCATCATAAACCATCCTGAGATAATGAGTCCTTTAGCAAAGTGGCACAGATCAAAACCAGGCCTGACTGAACGTTTTGAATTGTTTGTCAGTAAACGTGAAGTAAGACCATTGCATTTAGGTGATTATTATTTGAAATAAAACGGAATCATGCTTCTGACCACTGCTACTTTTCAGGTTTGCAATGCATATACTGAATTGAACGACCCTGTAGTACAACGACAGAGATTTGCTGAACAATTAAAGGTAATGAAATTTGATACAACTGTAATATGTACTGTGCTCTAATTGTTAGTTTTTTTTTTATAAAAAAAATAGAAAATCAGTAGTAACTGTTATTTGTTTTACATTTCAGGATCGGCAGTCAGGCGATGATGAAGCCATGGCCCTGGATGAAACATTTTGTACAGCTCTGGAGTATGGTTTGCCACCTACTGGTGGTTGGGGTTTGGGTATTGATCGGTTGACAATGTTACTGACAGATTCACAGAATATCAAGGTTTTTGCTCTTTCTTTATCTGCATGCTTACTTTCTTTTCACAATTTCTTACTATGTTCTGTCCTTTTTGGTGACAGGAGGTTCTTCTCTTTCCTGCCATGAAACCTCAAGACTGAGCCTTCAACCAATCTTTTTAAATCTCAGCGATAAAATGATTATACACACTTAGGTATGTCCTGTCTCAAGACCTTGAGTGAATACCCCACGAAAGACTATCAACATGCAACTAGGTTTTTGTTTTGGCAGTTCTCTAAGCTGCTCAATCACAATAGTACTGTTGTTTGCTGCAATTGGTAAATGACAATTCAGCTCTGGACAGTGTAGAAAAATTATGTTATTTGATTCAAATATTCAGAGGAAGAGTTTTCATGAGTTAATTCATAAAAACTTGTGTCAATGGCAATGCTTCCTGTTTGTATTGTTTCGTGTCTGATTTTGATATATGCATTTTCAGTATGTTACTAATGTTGGTCACAAGTTATAATATTTTCTTGCGGATTAAGTGATTCCTCTTTTTTTTTTTTTATTTTTTTTTTATTGGTTTCAGGAATATGAGAACTGCAAGATGGTTATTAAGGGACCTCATTTTTGATTTATGTCTTTGATTACTTTATCTTTCATTGATTGGATTGAATATGATGTCATATACCAGCTTACTTATTACTTATTCGAGATTTGAGACATAGTTTGAGTAGATTGCTTATCAACTTGAGCCCTTATTGCTATAGCTGAAAGTAGAGGAGGGTGTATGGGTAAGCTTACCTTGCACAGCCACGGAAAGGTCCACACATAAAAATGAGTTAACTCGCGGGTGTCCACATTCTATGCCAACTTATATTTTTAAAAGGGCAGCTAGGCAAATTCCCAATTCATTTTTTATTCGCAAATCTTCTATGAAGCTAAAAAAATAAAATAGTATATGCCAAATTAAAATGGTTTTCTTTAATAACAATAATTACGGTATAATTTTGATGTAATTAGATATATATTTTCATATGGGTTAGTGGGATGATTAGTAAATTTATGGGCATTTGCGTTCTTATTTGCTGGTCAAATTTATATAAAGCCGATCAATGTTTCAGCAAAATATGTGAACAGTTGTATTGTAAATAATTAGACATCGTATTTTTTTTTAGTGTAGATTTGTTTTCTAAAATTACTTTTAGGAGAAAGATAATAGAAAAACAAGTTTTATCAATTAAAATTTAATTATGCACATGTTAAAAATAAGTTTTGTAGCAGTGTACAAGAATTATTTTTATTAATAAATTTATGTACAAATTAAATTTATCTTGTAATGTTTAAATGTATTTTTAGATAAATTTATTTAGCTAATTTTAGCATATTTTTTTATATTATTCTTAAATTTGTATGAGAATTTTGTCGATGACCACATTAGTTCTTAAGAAAGTAAAAGTTCGATCCTCGTTCTTGATTGCTACAAGTATTGGATATATCAATTCTGAATAGGAACGAAAATAAGTTGGAAATTAAACATGGGTCTATTTTGATCCAAGTCAAGTCTGGTGCTTATTTAATAAAAAACAGATTTACACTTTTAAAAATTCTATTTATTTTTAAAAAGTTAGACTTACACTGTTATGCTTGATAGGTCATACCATTTAAGTATATTTATATAATAATAATAAAGAATATATATTATTGATAAAATAATTAATAAATAAATAATAAATAAATTTGTAAAAAAAATTAAATTATCAATATTTTGACTTTTTCACTATACTTAAATTTTTTACATTCTTTTTGTTTGTATGAAATCAAGAAATTGAAAATAAAAACTCTAGTATTTGTTGTGTCATTTTCTTTTATCTTTATGGTTAATTATTTAGAATATTTTAAATTAGAATGATAAGTTTTTAAAAAGTTTTTTTAAGATAAGATTATCCTTTTCATTAAAAACTTGTGTGAGAGTGTAGGTTAACTTACATAGATCTGTATGAGTTATTTCGTTTACTTTTTATTTATTTATTTATTATTTTAAACTCTAAATTTTAATGTTAATAAAGTAAATTATTTTTTATGATGCAAAAAGAAAATATTTTGTATTTTTAAAAAAATTATTAATTTATTTTGAATTAAATTTATTAATTTATTCAACATTATTAATGTAAAAATAAACTAATAAATTGAGTCAATTTTTAAAAAGTCATATCTAAAAAAAATTTATCATAGATAATAATGAATTAGACTTGAATTTTAATTTTTACAACACATCCGATAATATACTTTGACATTCGTGTTTTATGCAAATCAGATTCTTCAGATAAAAAAGTTCTTGTTTTTTAATTTTTAATTCATAGAGACCTCTTCTTTCTAAAGTAACACAATCAGAGTGTACCGTATTTTATGCAAATCTTTTTAGGTTTTATTTTAATTAGAATATTTATTTGAATTTTGAACAAAATAGTTTTTTTAATATTTCTTTTATGATTTTTTATTTCAGGTCTATTCTAGAAAATATTGGATAAATAAATATATTCTGATAAACTGATAGATTTTATCCAAATATATATTTTTAATAATTATTTTGGTTTACCTATGTCCAAGTGACACCATTAACAGCTATAAAAGAACATGTGAGGGTTGAATGAAATAGCACAATCAAGATATTAGTAGTTCCTGTGTCAAATCTTGAACTGAGACGGTGTTGACCACTGACTTGGAGTTAGGTTGGTTGTAGTTACGAGCAAAGAAAGTGTCGTTGCTTTTTGCTGCAACAAAAACAAAACACTTGTTTCAACGTGCACACTCACTCGTGCTAGATGCGACTCTCTGCACTTGTAGCATTAGGGAGAAGGTTGTGTCAGAGTGCTTGTTGCTGCCATTGTAGTTCTAGGGCTTCATCTACCATCTACTCTTCTCAAACCTATATAGTTTGCCTTCACACATCACACAAATCAATAATGGTCAATGGCACAAAGATTGAGTAAATGAACAATTTGGTGTATGAAATTCTAATTGGCTTTTACATCATCTTTTATCCTTTGAAACTAAATAAAATTTCTCTCTAAATTTTGTTTGAAGGTTTCACTTAATTCCTTAATTTTTTTTTAGTCTTTAAACAAGTAGAAAAAAAATGTATTTAAGATAAATGCTAATTTATAATAGATAATTAAATGTCTATTCTATTAATAATAAATATATATATAAAGTATTTGTACCTACATCCATATTTTAAAATTATTAAAAAAATTGTATGTAAAATAGTTTGGTCTAATTTATATATATATATATCACCTATTTATTTTTATTATAAATATATGTTACAATTTTTTTAATATAATAATTTTAAATTATTTTTGTTTAAAACTTTACATTTTATCAAAAATTCATGAATATTCATAGATACCTAGATTTATATATAAAATTTATGAATATTAACTAAATGAATACCTATACTAAATGGGATGAATGATATGGGACATTTATTGTCTTTACCACACTGTGTTTCCTACATATGTTATTATTATCATTTAAGTCATTAGAATATAAATCAAAATAAAAAATGTATCACTTTCATTAGTTGTTTTAAGATTTTTATATACAAATTAAGAAATGCAATAAATTTTTCTTCTTTTTCATAAAACAATTTTGATGTTTTTTTATTATATATTTCTTTTCAATTTTAGTCTATGATAAATGTATATTAGTTGTCAATTTATAAATTAATTAAAAGATAATTACCAGGAAAGAGTATAATTAATAAATAAAGAGTAATTAATATTGTCTTGAACTTTCAAAAATAATAAATAAATAAAAATAAATCTCTATTAACACAAACCGATGGTTAAAAAGAAATGGAACTATAATTAACGATTTTAATAAAAATCATATATTTATTTTAATTTTCTTCAGTTTTAAAGACCAATGACAATGAGGTATAATTTTAAGATTAAATTAATTATTTACTCTACAAAATCACACACAAGTCAAACATGACAAACCAATGCCAAAGATTAAAAATAAACAATGAACAACTTTGATACCATAAAATTCTAACATATTTTATCACGACATTGACCAAATCAAAGCCATAAAATAAAATAATTTGGAAAGTAATGTTTAGTTAACAGTGGATATAAACACGTTTAATTTTTTTCTTCTTCTGATAAATCCTTTAGATTTTAAAACCTTAAAACAAATCAAAATATAACAAATGATAAAAGAATATCAAAATATAAAAATGTTCAAAAGGGTCACATGACATGAATAATAACGTAAAAAGAAAATTCATACCTTGCTTTCAGGAGCTTGAAAGTAAAAAAGAAATCAAAAAGAGGAAAAAGAGTCCACCTCATATTTGGCGAAATTGAAATAAGGTAAAGAGAAAAGATGTTTGTGTACAAACAAAGTGACATATCAACGTTGGGTCATGAAGAGAAATAAATATTTAAAAAGTATACATAATCTTTATTGGTTTGTGACTCTTTGGGAGATGACTAAAAAATAAATCCTGAGAATTTATGTTTGAAGTAGACAGTATCATATAAATGTAGAGACATGTGTATATGTAAATCTCAGGTGTCCAATGTACAGTGGTATTAGAGTCTGGTTTATATAGCCCGGTAACCTGTCACTTGAGTATTAAAAATTGACATAATGCGAATTTTAATTAGGGGAGGAATTGTTGGAAAATAATTTAAATTTATAAATTCAAAATTTTAAGATATTGTTTAAATTTTAAAATATATTAATTATTTTAAGATATTATTTAGAATTGAAGTATATTGTATTTATTTTAAAAATTTATTTTCTCTTTTAAGATTATGATGTTAGGTCAATAAATAGAGACTTTTGAGATGAGAAAAACTACTCGACTTGTTAAGGGGGTCACCATCCTAAGTAAGAGAAGGGGTCATATGAATGAAGGTTTGCCAAATTTTGTCAAAAAACTTATAAAGAAGAGTTTGTCAAGTTTTGCCAAATTTCATCTACAATACTTGTGAGGAAGGAGATTTTAAGTTTCACCCATAAAACTTGAAGTATTTTGAGATTAATAGACATTTGTTTTACACATATAATACATTTTGAGATAATATATGAACATCCTTATGACGTAAATATGATAGGTTGAACCATGTTATATAAAATTTTGTGTAATTTTCTATCTCTTTATGATAATATTTTAATGTATTTCTCATTATTGTTGCAAATAAAAAGGAAAGAGTTTTTTTTTTCAACAATAGTATGAAAGTCGATGGTTTTGCCTATGTGATTGACTCAAAGTCTCAAACAAGTGTTTGGCAATGGGAGGCAGTCAATCTAAATGTGAGATCCTTTGTATCGAAAGTTTTCCTAGTAGTGTAGAGGTTAGGCGATGTGTCTTGTTGACATGAGTTAAGAATGGTACAAGTATCTAGAATTGATAGGTGTGACTAAAACTTTAAGGGTTATTATTGAATACTTGCTGATGAAAAAAGGATTTTCCTTGAAGGGGAGGTTAAACCATAATTCTTTGTTTGAGGGGAGGTGAGGTACAAATAAAGTTTCACATTATTGGATCATTAAAAGAAATAAAAATTTATAAAGCACACATAATCTCTATTGGTATAAAAGCCTTTTGAGATATGATCAAAAGTAAAATCATGAAAGTTGAAGTTTAAAGTGAACAATATTATATCAATGTAAAAACATGTGTGTATGAAACCCAAGTGTCAAACAAAAAGAAATAGGTAGAAATAAAAATGTGAG